TCTGTCTGTCTGTCTGTCTGTCTGTCTGTCTGTCTGTCTGTCTGTCTATCCATCCATCCATCCATCCATCCATCCATCCATCCATCCATCGATCAATCCATCTATCAATCTACCTACCTACCTATCTACCTACCTACCTATCCATCCATCCATACGTACATATATACATCAATCCATCTATCTATCTTCCTATCTATCTATCTATCTATCTATCTATCTATCTATCTATCTATCCATCCATCCAAAAGGTCTGTGTCTGTCTGTCTTCCTGCCTGCTTGCCTGCCTGCCTGCTTGTCTGCCTACCTACCTATCAATATATCTACCTACCTACCCACCTATCTGTCTCTCTGTCTCTGTCTCTGTCTCTGTCTCTGTCTCTCCATCCATCCATGTTCAAGGCGCCAGCTCCACAGGCACATCAGGAAAGTAGAGCCAAGCCAGTCTGGGAGGGAGGGAGGGAGGGAGGGAGGGAGAGAGTGAGATAAAGAGAGAGAGAGAGACCTGATGCATCAGATTGAAATGAGGCCTAGTTTAGACTGAGGCCCTTTTCCACATTGAAACATCTTTGGCTTCTATTAAAGGTTTTGTGGACAAAACATGGTCAAGACTATCAGGAAGCTCTCACATTTTGTTGAGATTTTAAACAGGATCCATTGGACCAGACCTCCACCCTAAAAAATTAGTTTTTCCCAATGAATTATAGTGCCAATTCTGAAAAAGGCAAAACCAAAATGTACTGGTAAATTACAAGGAGAACACACACATACACACTCCCTTCTAACCCTACTGGAGCAGGTGATTAGACTAGAATAGATATCTCATTATCTTTCTCCTCTCTCCCTCCTTCTTTATTTTTTTTTTCTGTCCCTTCCTTCCACCCCCCCCATTTCTTTGTCCTTTTCTCTTTCTTTTCTCTCTCTCTCTTTCCCTTTCTCAGGCTCACCCTATTGACTTGGTGCACTGCTCCGCTCGGACTTGCTTGGGCAGGTCCCTCCAGTGCAGCGGACTCAATGGGGTGGACCTGTGGGGCAGGCGCCTAGAACGTGGCAGTGGCAGCACGTTTGAAAAGTAGAGCAAAGCCAGAGGTCAGTCATTTTTGCTGCAAAGAATCACAAAAACTTCTGGGCCATGCACAAGAAGGGACACACATGTCAATGCAATTCAGCAACATAAAATAAAGAAATATAAATAAAACAAATCAACAAGAATCAGCAAAGCATCTCTCATTAGATTCTATTCACTACTAGAATCTAATCAGAGATGCTTTGCCGATTCTAGTCCAATGACCTGCTCCAACAGGGTTGGAAGGGAGTGTTTGTGTATGTGTGTGCATGGCTGTCAAAACTCCAAAAACAGGTCAAGTAGCTCTGGGGAGGCCAGTCATAAATTAGAACACTTGCTAAACAACCGGCCATTAAGTGAGGACCACATGTATTTGGTTTGCCAGTCACCTGGCCATGCCCAGCCAGTCACATGCCCACCAAACCACACCTACCCAGTCATGTGACCACCAACCCACACCCAGCCAGTCATGTGACCAGCAAGCCATGCTCACCCAGTCACATGACCAGCAAGCCACACCCTCAAATTAGGCCACACCCACAGAAATTTGAATCCCACCCCTGGGTGGGGGGCACCAAGGATGAGTTTGTAGCACCAAGGTGGCGGTGGACTGAAAAAGTTTGAGAACCACTGGTCTAAAGGTTGCACATATGAAAATTTCCAATGAATACAATGTCTCAAAAATCAAGAATAAGATGGGGGGAAGTTTAATGGAATGTGGCTTCTTTGAAACAGATGAAAATATTAAGGGTTAATTTGAAAAAGAAAACCCAAAATATTAGCGATTAAATTTCAAAAAGAAAACTATAGAGTTAGCTGATTGGAATGTAGAAAATGAAACATGTTTTGGTAGTAAGTGGAAGAAGTAAGCTCTGAAGCCATCCACTGTTACTCCCTAAGCTTCTATTACATTTTGCAACAGACTTATACAGCATTCTCTTCTTGCTTGTGTGTTTGCATCCCTTATGCCTTGACATACAGCTGCAGGTGGTCATTCAACCATATCAGCTAGCCTGAAAGGTCATGGCAGTATTTGCTAGTGTTGAATTTCTTGCACTTTTAAGCCTTACGATCCTCAATAATTCTAAATTAAATGTACCATTTTGTCTGAACACTTATTTTCTATAGCAGTGTGCACATTATCAAATTAGTAACACAGCGTATTGTTACTCTTGGGCTTCACAATGCATTTCAACATTTGATTTAAGCAAAGGTCAAAGCTGCAGGACAGAAATGGCAAGATAGTTTTTAGCTATCACATGAAAGGAAGAAAATATAGCCTTCCCTAAGTTTGGCTTTTAGACATGCTGTCATGCTAGTCGCTCTTGTAGTCTCAGTGTTCCTTGTAGAACATTAGATGCTCTCTTCTCTCCTTCAGCTTTTGATCTATATCCAAATGACTCTTTAGATTTTGTATTTTTAACTTTTAAATGTCTATTACTTCAAGATTTCAAAATGATACACAATTTTAGAAAAAAATTAAAATTTATCATTGCAAAATGTATTATTACATATTATTCTATTTCTAAATATTGCAAGTACAAATGCAAAAAAAAAATCTGTGGCTGCAGATCAGGCTGCACAATTCCTAGTTCTGACTTCTACATCTGTGCATGCAAGGAAGTTTTGCATAGGGATAATGATTCCAAATTTGATAATTTGCTGCAATTTGTTGCAAGGGTCTTTCAAAGCCAAATGCCCCTGAATAAAAATATTTCAGTGTATCGGGAATACAGAAAGGTGAATGGTAATCACATAATATACAGAGAACCTGACAAGTCATCTCTTGTTTTTTACACTTGATATAATTAAAAGTAAGTCTTCCTTCCAATCAGAAATAGGTACCTATTGACAGTATTATGGCATGTCTTAGTATCCATTTTCTTTGGTAGAGAGAAAGGACCAATGCTGGCTATAGCTCAATTATAGATTTGCAATAAAAGGGAGGTTATGTTGGCAGTAAATTATTTGCATAATTGTTATGAGAAATATTCTAAGCCCTTGGTGGATAAAGACACTTGAACATGTGCAGTTGCCTCCAGCTAGGCAAATCCAGTTAGGGATGATGGAGGCTTCATAAGTCCTGTTGTTTTTATTATATATAACCAGGGGTGGGTTTCTACTGGTTCTGTCCACCTCTGTAGAACCGGTAACTCTGAAGAGCAGCAGACATAGAACCGGTTCTATGTCTGCTGATGTTTTTGCCCACCCGCCCACCTGGCCTCTTACCTGATCTTTATTTCCTGATTTTTCAACTTCAGCTGCCAAACGAGGCACAGCTGCAGTTAAAAGAACAAGAAAAGAGGGCTGTTTCAAAGGCTGCTTCTCAGCACGCAGCGTGCTAATGATGATTTACAGGCGCGTGGCTCACAGCGGGCAGGGAAGCTCGTAAATCCCGAACCGGTAGTTAACCCTGTCGTATCCCACCACTATATGTAACCTTATGATATAATACATACTAGTGTTATAAAACAATAGAGAAATATAAGAGTTCTGTTTTAAAGCCGTCTGAAATTTTTTTAGCTGCTAGGTTTGGAATATAAAAGATTTTATTATTCTGTAGACTAATGAAGTGATGTGTGAAGCTGATGCAGACACTCTTAAAGATTAGACTTGGGGGGTGGGATTCTACCGGTTCTGTCCACCTCTGTAGAACCGGTAGCTCTGAAGAGCAGCAGACAAAGAACCGGTACTATGTCTGCTGCTGTTGTGGCCCACCCCCCCGGCCGGGCTCTTACCTGACCTTTATTTCCTGCTTTTTCAACTGCAACTGCTTTGCGCAACACAGCTGCAGTTGAAAAAGCAGGAAAAAAGGGCTTTTCCAACATCTGCGCACTTGCACGCAGCGCTGCTCAGCTGTCCGGGCAGCTCAGCAGGTTGTAAATTGCACTCGCGTGACTTGTGCGACTTGCGCGACTCGCGCATGCACGCACGACACTAATAGACAGAACCAGTAGTTATACCAATCGGATCCCATCCCCGATTATACTGTATGTAGGAAACCTTGGTCCAATCAAACTCAAGTCAGAATCCATTTTGAAGTGTATTTCATGAGAGTGAAGATATCATCTATACAATATTCCATCTTTGCCTCACTGTATACTTTACACAGTGACTTCTACTTAAACATTTCTATATTGATCTATAAGGATAAGCTAAAATGATGGTTTACTCTAAATATTTCACATTTAGGACAATATCCTCAAGATGACATAAAGAAAGGAGATAAGCTTCACTGTACAGACATTACATTGTTAGAAATGTTGTACTGCAGATGTTGCAGCTAAAAGATTGTAGAGATGAAGGATCACAATATTATTTTCCTTCCATTTCCATTACTTTATGTCTTCAAAGACATAAAGTATAGCTAGATAATTAAAAATTAATTTTTAAAAAGTGAATGAGAGCTATGCAAATTCTTTATTAGTTATCAGCTGGGAGGTCCAAACTGTCAGTATTGGTCAAAATTAATCTTCCATAGCTGCATAGGATATAGCACAATTGTTATACTTTATTATTTTCATTTGAGAATTTGAAATATTCACATACAACCAAGACATTCAAACTTTATTAGTATTATTCAATGTTCATCAAGTTTGCTTTTTCTATATAACATAGTCCAAATAATACGGTTCAAAAAAATTAACTGGAATAATGCGGAAGAAAAAAAAAAGAAAATCACACAGTCTTCATTTGTAAAAATACAAACAAATGAAAACAGCGAGGCTCCAGTTTTTATCCTTTAGTGTGTATCAGTCTGTATTAATTCTGTGATAAAAATGGGAACCTGGTTTTCTTGCTTAACTTTATATTTTTTTATACATACATTGTAATTACTTTGCATTCTACAGCTGACAGCGTGCTATTAATGTTATTCATTATATAACTCATTACCTTGGAAAAAAGCCAGTCATGTAATCTGTATCAGAATTCTTCCACCCACCCACAAATTAGAGCAGTAGATCAGCATTTCCCAACTTGGTACTTTGTAGAATTTCTAGCCAGCCTTTGGTCATATTAGCTAAGAATATGTAAATCCAGTGTATCTGGAAGGAGCTACATTGAGGAAGATGGACAATGAGATGTAACAGATTTAGCAAGTGAAGTACATTCCTTATGGTTTTTAATTCTCACTGATTGTACTGGTTCATGCACAAATCAAAATTTCAGTATATTAATATGTTAAGAATATGGTCAAATAACAGTTTAAATATGAAGGATTTAGGTCACTAATTCTTAAAAATCGGATGTCTTCATATGGTAGAATTGAAAAAAGATGGGAGGCACACAGGTTCATATAAAGGAATGGTGTACAAAACTCTTAGGCAACATGTGCTGAAGAGTAAAGGGAGTGCTTCTTCTAATCCTTCCATTGTGATGTTAATTGCCAACTGTTTTAGCAAGGGAAACTCTTGTATTAACAGGCCCTTTTAGCATGTTCTTTCTTTTTAAAGCATTAAGTATTTAATTTATGTTGCTAAATATATTTATATTTTTAAAAATTCACAGAAAATGAGACTATACTACAAAATAAATATGATCAAACCCAAACAGACTGAAGTGTCACACCTTCATAATGGGTTAAGAGACAGCAGCTACATTTAATATAAGTTGATATGCTGTAGAACTCTTGATTTATATATATACTTAATGTTCCAAACAGAATGGTCCTGTATAGAATGACTGCATATACAGTACATATGCATTCCGTGTGCATTCTTTTCAAGCAATATTTGAAAAGAGGAAAGGAGTCTTATTTTGGTTTTAAGAGTAGACATTGTTACTCTTTGGAACAAGCAGATAATAAATTCTACATACAATGTGGAATATTCATACTATTCCTTTTTGATGGAGTTTTTGTTTCTCCTACCATCACAATATAGCCAGCACAATGAAAATAAGTAGAATGCAAAGCAGACAATTAAATCATAATGATACAATGTTACACAAAATACAATGAACAAAAGGAAATAAAATATTTTGTAAGCAATATGCTTTAACACAAGACACTCAGTAGGTGAATTATAAGCTTCATTTTTCTGGCTAGAAATTCCTGTATGATCAAAAAAAGCCTGCTTATCGTGTCTGATAATATTCATTTTCTTTTCAGTTATTAAACCTTCCGAAGCTAAGCTTGTTTCTTCTCTTTCTTCAGTGGATTCCCTAATTAAAATTGTGGGCTTTATTTGTTTTTCTGGACTGAACTCTGTTTGATGGGAAAACTGGCCTATGTTTCCTTCTCTATTCTCACTAGGGAGAAATTCTTGCAGCTTAGTGATATTTGTAATAACATGAGTTGTTTCATCTTTTGGGTTGAAGTTACATCCAGATTGAGCTGCAATTTCAGTTGAAGCATTTGTGGGTGGAGGTGACATCTCTTCTACTTCAGCAATTTGAGGGCCTGCAAATCCTTTGGGAGATATCACTGAGGAGTTTTTATAACAGCTTCCCACAAAATTTTTATCCAAATGGCATGTTTTTGGTTCAGTTGTGGGACCTATGTGAGAAAATGAACTCCAGATGCTTCCTTCTTCAACTTCTTTATTGTGTAAGCCTTGTGAAGAATGTTCTGAATGATTCAATGATACTTCACAATGCACACCTTGTTCCGAAACAATTTTTCCTTCTGCTGAAAAAGGACAAAATATTTCAGTTGATGGTGAATTATTTACAGAATTATGTTCTGCTTTGGCAAGCATTTCATTTGTTGCATGTGTTGAAATCATTTCCATATGTACTGTTTCATATGTGGGCACATTATTAATATGTGAAGCAGATACTCCAAATTTGGTGTCACATAATACACCCTCTCTATTGCATTGACAAAGAGGATAATGTGACCCATCATTTCTTCCTTCATGTATATCAAATACCATTTCCTTTTTCTCTGTGGGCCTGTCACTTAATGCAGTCTCTTGGGGTAGCTTAAAAATTACTGCTTTTTCACTAGCAGACATTTTTTCAGGAATACTTTCTGATGTCATTTTAATTATATAAGCAGCTGTAACTGCTTCTGCTTCTTCTGTATTATCATGCTTAGTGACTGAGGTCTCCTCATACCTGAGTGCATCTTGGCAAGTAAATAGTTCATCTGTGGGACTTACTTTCAAACATCTTGTATTGTCATTAATACCCCCCATGGCTTCAACTCCTGTTAGTTCCTTTATCTGCACTCTTTTATTTGCTTCACTTTGTCTTTCTGCCAACTGATTTTCTGAACCACTCCCCGTTTGAATCATCAATCTGTCCCAGGTACTCTGATCTTTAAGAATAATCGTGTCAGGTTCACTTTGGCAGGGTTCTATCTCAGAAATATTTCTGTTTTCTGGATTATCATTGTGATTGTACTTCCTTTTTTCTAAGTTGTTTCTGCTATCAGACATTTTCTTTGTGTTTATTAATATAGATTGCATAAACACATTTTCATCAACTGGTGATACAATATGGGATTGACTTTCCCAAAGTGTATTATGAAGTTTCTCAGGGATTCTAATTTCTTCTTTTTTTAAGTCATGATTTGATTCATCTATAATGCAACTTTTGCTTTCTGTTTTATTATTATTTGAGTTTCCACTGTCACTTAAATATGGAAGCCCTATTGATTTTGACATTTGCTCTTTTATTTCACCTGGGACACTGGAAGTCATTACTTCTTCCCTTTGAGGTAACTTAGCTAGCTTGTTAATTTCATAATTATCACGTAAGACATGTTTTCTATACCTGTTGGTAAGAGATATTTGTTTTTCTGGAGAGTTCTCTATAATTTTTAGCATGATTTCTTTTTCCTTATCATCATTATACTCAGACTTACGTTTTTCTTCTACAATGTCTTCTGAATGAAAGCTTGCCAAACAATTTTCTGTGACATCAGCATTTGCCATAGCTTCACTATTTAAACCTCTGTTTAAACATAATTTGTTTTTGCTTTCAACTTTTTCTCTTTCGGGTTCATGTCTGATGTTTTCTGAATCTAACTCTGGAATTTGGAAAGGTATTTCCTGCTTAAGTTGTTCCTGGACTGTCTTAATATTATTATACTTTCTTTTCAATGCATTTTCTTTCAACTTCCCTGCTTCATCATCTTCTAAGGAAACAGTCTCCCTTGCTTTTTTGAAGTTATAATTATCCTCACCTATGAATAATGTCTCTTTTGTTTTATTTCTTGGGACATTCTTAGATTCCTCACTTTGAACATATGCTTGATGCATTCCACAATTGCTTGAGACAATATCTGGAATATAGGCAGTCTGGTTTTTATTGATTTCAGACCAATGATCTGGTGAGAAATAGGTTTCATTTGGATTCAAACCCTCTAAGGACTGTGCAGTTTTGTTTAGTAAGTCAACCTCACTGCATTTTTCTGGGAATAATAACTGTCTATTATTTCCAATGGAACATGTTTGATTATTCTGCAGTTCTTTGTCTTGTAAAGAATGTTCTGTTGAAGAGCTTTTAGGCAGAGGTTGTCTAATCAAGCCAGACTCTAGCTTGTCCCCCAGTTGTTGCAGTTCATTTGGAAATCTAACAGGTTCAGTTGCATAGGAACTCCTTTCATTCATTGAAGAACTTCTGCTTCTAGTAAAGTGATGACTTAGCTGAAATAATAGAATAAAAGAGTGTGAAACTATGTGTGAATGTGTAAGTGAATAGACTATATGCCCATACTCATACACACACACATGAAAAGGAGTTCAGTTCAAAAAATATTTTTTTCCAATAAAACCCATTTTCAGAAAGCATGCTTCCAAGCTGTTTACAAAATGAATATTGCATTTTAAGTACATGTGCATGCACAGCCACAAAGGGCAACAAACAAACATAAGAGGCAAAAAAAAATTCCACTTTTCTTCTTTATGTCTGTCCCCATCTTAGCCTGTTTATTTATGAGCTCCGTAAGCTTCAAGTATGTTTCAGAGAAATGAATCCTGAAGAGAAAATTCTGTACAAGGCAAACTAATTCATTCAAATAGCACATTCCATTCTAGACATGCTTTATTTTAAAGTGAATGCAGTGACACAAAATATCAAAGCTAAAGAATGTACAGGAGTGTCCAAAGGCACATTTGTACACTGACAAATACTATAAGGATTATGTTTATTTTACTCTCCTCTCAGACCCCTCAGACAGGAATGTTTTAGTTAGAAACTGCAGAAACTGAGAGTTAGGAAAGGCCACAAAGAAGTTTCTTCAGTATCACTCCAATATTAAATTATATTATTCAATAGCATCTGCATCTTATGGCATTCTTCCCTTGCTTTCAAATGCATAGTTGGATGGTTCCGTACCAATCAATTAGAAGATAGCAACTTAGATACTCCCTTATTACATTTACACTTTCTGCAGATGCCCCTATTACAATGTCTCTTATTAATATGTTTTCTGCAAAGCCTCTGCAAACTATTAATAGTAAAACGTCACTCAAAGAAAAGTGAAGGAACTAATGTTTCTGCAAATTCTGTTTTAATGACCCTCTGCCAACTAGTCCTCAAATGTATCTGAGCTTTTCAGTGATGCCAACTGTCAGGATTTAATAGTGAGATGCCTGTTTCTTTTCCTCCTTATCTCCTGCCTTATAACTGACATTTGCATGATTTCAATAATTATATGCAAATCTTACAATTTCCCCTTCTCACATAAGGCTGATGTTACTTGTCAACTGCTGAGCTGTCGCGTGAGCCATTGCCTATCAGTTTCAAAGATTTGGTTGCATTTCCATTTATTATAGACCTCTATTGTTTAATTCATTATGCAGCACATAAAATTATTGGACTGAGCTTTGACCAGGTATATAGATTTTTTAAAAACTCTATATGCTTAAGTCTTGTATTGGAGAATGCTATGACTTTGTTAATAAAAATAATATTTCAATTCTGATTATTCAGGCAATAAAAGCTCCATTCTGAATGACAACTTTGAACTCTCCTAAAGTTAGAGCTAAGATAACTTTGGGCTGAAGAATTGTCTTATTCTCTACCCAAAATGGCTGTGTGATGCTAATGTTTAGTGTATCCTTTTGTGTGTTTCAGATTTTATATTTTCACTCACAAACACCATTATATTTCCTGCTTATTTACTTGTGTATATAACTATGCCATTTTTCTTCTCATAAAATGCAGGCTAACCCACTGAATAACATTTATGCAATATAAGTGGCATTGAGGTTAAAAATAATGTTTAATGTGAACATATATTTATTTATAAAATCAGTGTGATTTAGTCAATATTGTGTGTGTTATATCTGAAAGACAATGGACATTGTGTGTGGGATTGTGTGTGTTATATCTGAAAGATGGTATCTGTGGTCAAATTTTTGAGTTTAAAAACAATAACTTAACTTTCCCTACTATTATTCTCTCCAGAATCAAAACTTCTGGACAAGGAGCAAATTTTAAAAATCAATTATACATCAGGTGCACCAAATTAAAAATTATTTTACACAATTATCAAATGCTAAAAAGATTCACTTGCAACATCATTGCTTTGCTCTTTCATAAGCCTCCAAACAATCACTGTTGAGTAGCCATTAGTTATAGTCTATGTATGGCTCCCTAACTGTAAAACTAAAAAAGGGAAAAAATGCAATAATAAAAATCAGAAAAATAAGAATTTAAGTTATTATTCTTCTATTGTTTTCAAATTGTCCCTTATATCCTGTGATAAAAGAGAAATAAGTTGTTAAATGAAAGGTAACAAAATTAAATGTTTCAAAACATCCTACATCCCTTAATCATACTAAATATATAATTAAAACTCTGATAGTAACTGTATTGGCAAATTATGTAGTATACTTATCACCACTGTTGAAGTAGAGAAAGATCTTCCTCTTGTGGAATATATAATAATATTGTCTAACCAAAGCGAACAAAGTTTTGGTGACCACAACTTTTAAAATTAAATTTTAAAATTATTTGGGATGGTTGGGTACTTTGTAGACAATACAGTAATCTTTCATCAAAGTAGACAGGACCATGATTTCCAAGAATGAGGGTTGAATTTTGGAGGTATGGAGATTAGTGACAGCATTCCTGAACAATTGGAAAAAAAATCTGAACAATTTTCAGTTGTTTTTTTAAGAAAAATGACTGAAAAATTATAAAAATTCAGTGATATCATTTCTCCCCCCAAAAAATGTCAGGCCTGTGTACAATTCATCCACTATGAGCTACTTTCCCTCAACCTTCCTCAGTAAGAAGATTGCAATCCTTTGTTTGCTGAGGAAACGTATCAGAATATATCATTTGAGTTGATACACATAATAATCTGTTTGGGATATCCAATAACAAATCCCAGCTGATTTTTGACCACTGGTTTTTTTAAAATTTTATACTTGAACAACTTAATAAGAAGTTTAAAATATCCACAAAATAATTGACAGATAATTCAATAAGATGCTAGCGAGATAGGGTGGGAGGAGGGAGAATAATAATCAGAAGAATTATTTTTTATTCTGTTGAAGAAAACTCCACTAGCTTTCTCATGTCTCCCCAAGAGAAGCTTTGATCAAGCAATTGGTTGGTCTAAATACATGTGCATTGTTTGCAACAGGAAGAAATATTTGTTTATTTTAGAAAATAAAAGAACAGAAAATGCTGTTTGATTCCACCCTCCAACACTTTGACATGCAGCTGAAAAGGATTTTAGAGTCATAGCAGTTTCTTTCTTGACATTGTTCTATAAAACAGGGATCCTCTGTGAGCCGTGGCCCATTACCGGGCCACGGCCTATTTGCAACTGGGCTGCATGAGTAAAGCTATGCATGTACATGCCTGCCCCTCACACAAAACCATCCCCTCCCTCCCCTCCCTCCCCCTGAATCAGGTTGGAGAACACTGCTGTAAAAGATTCTGAAAGCTTACCAGCAACTCCAATTCTTTCTCATTTTCTTTGTCATCTTCATTACAGACATCATTTTTTTCTTCTTCATTTTCTTTTCTGTATTTATTTTCATTATCCAGATGTGAATAAACGATCTGGGGGATATCTAAAAGAATTGAATTATTGAATAATATTCACCTAGATGCTTTGTTACTTTAAAAAAAAATTATAACACAAACTACAGAAGGTGAAATGATTGAGACTTTCTACCTGAGATTCTGGAATTAATCCAAATGTCTTTATCAGCCATTGTCAATGTTTCCTCTTTACTATGAAATGAGAAAGAAAACAAAGTGACAATAATTAAAATCTTTTTCTGGATTTTTAAGCAATAGTATTATTATAATTAATGTAGTATTTGAATAAAATTAGTTTTATTTTTCTCATTTGGCTTCGTGTGTCAATGTCACCATAGGAAAATAATCACAGTAACCTAACCTTTCTATCTCCTTCCATAAATCTAATCTGAAATGAAGGGATCACAAAAAACTTGGTGTCCCCTATATTGTGTGGCAAATTATCCATGTGAATGTTGTATATTATTGCACTAAGGACCATTCTGCAGAGGCCTTACTGCAGTGTGCTCTCTACTTTTATCATTTGGCGCATGACAAATCTGTTGACTGGACTTTTATGTTGGTTTAACCATGTCTCTTTTGGTACAGTATGCAAAATACAGTTTGATATATTATTTTCAGTTTGCCTTTCATTAGTAACTGTTCTTTACAAATCAACATATCAACACAAAAGAAATTAAGGAAATGTAAAGTTGGCCTTCACGTTTCAATATTCTAGGGTGAATTGGAACAATAAAGATGAAAATGTTGGTAATTCCAAAACAGGATTAACATATGGCAGAAGGAAGGAAGGAAGGAAGGAAAGAAGGAAGGAAGGAAGGAAGGAAGGAAGGAAGGAAGGAAGGAAGGAAGGAA